GTATTGGCCAACAAGCGGAGATTATAACCCATAAAAAGGAGATCTTTATTGAATGTAAGGACATTGACGAGGTTACCACAAAACAAGAAATATGCGATGCCCTGACGGAACAATTCGAAGTGGAAGGAATAAAAGAATCGGATATCAAGAGCCTTAGGAAAAGCTACGGAGATACACAAACAGCAGTTATTTCATTACCAATGGACATGGGTCGAAGAGTATTGAAAACGGGTAAAATCCGAATCGGATGGGTCATCTGTAGGATTAGGGAAAAAATGTCCCTTAAAAGGTGTTACAGATGTCTTGAATTTGGACACATTGCAACAAATTGTACCAATGCTCAAGACAGATCCAAAATGTGTAGGAGGTGTGGCGATATCGGTCATATTGCTAAAGACTGTACTAAAAAACCGGAGTGTATGTTCTGTAAACAACGAGGATCCGTAGACATTATTCATGTGGCAGGTAGCGGGAGATGTCCTGTATTTAAACAGGCTCTTACCAAGTTACGCAAATGAGGTTACTTCAACTTAACCTCAACCATTGTAAGGCGACACAGGACCTGCTTTCACAGATTATCTGCGAAACTCGTGTTGATGTCGCCATCCTAAGTGAACAGTATAAAAACATGCACAACGCTGTATGGGTGAAGGATTTGTCTAACAAAGCTGCTATATGGGCCTGTGGAAACCAGGCCATCGAAGAAATTTCAAAACAACCAGAAGATGGTTTCGTAATGGCCAAAATTGGTGGTGTTTATATATACAGTTGCTATGCACCACCTAGTGCAACAATAGAACAATACCAACGAATGTTAGATCGACTTGTGAGGGATGCAAATCTTCACAACCCAAAAATCATAGCGGGAGATTTCAACGCATGGGCAGTTGAATGGGGAAGCCGATACACCAATAAAAGGGGACGTATTCTACTGGAGACATTCTCAAGGTCCGATCTTGTGCTAGCCAACAATGGTAGTAAGCCAACATTCATGGCTAGGGGAACCTGTTCTGTGGTGGACATCACATTTGTAAGTAACTCGCTGGCTAGAGATATAGAATGGAGCGTCAGCGATCAATACACGCACAGCGACCACCAATCTATAATATTCTCTGTAAATAACAATAGCAGAACGCAACCTACGCCAAATAGGTGTAATACCAGGTATATAGGTTGGGCCTCAAAAAAGCTTAACAAGGACATTTTTACCCAGGAGATTTCACAAACTACTGAAATAGAAGGTACAGCAGAGTATAAAGCGAGGTATATAATCGACAAGCTGAAGAGAGCATGTGATATCGCAATGCCAAGGCGCAGATTGTCAAAAAACCGTAATCCAAACTATTGGTGGAATGACGAAATTAGCAACCTAAGGAAAGAATGCCTAAGAGCTAGAAGAAAAGCCCAACGCGCGAGAGGAAGATTGGACTTTGAAGTACGCAGTCTAGAATATCAAAAATCAAGACGAGAATTCCAAAATGCCATTGCACGTAGTAAAAGAATCTGCTTCAAACAGATATGTTTGGAAGCTGACTCCGATCCATGGGGCAAAGCCTATAGGGTGGTCACGTCGAGGCTCAAAGGAACAAAATCCCCACAGCCTACTTGTCCACATTTACTGGACAAGATTGTTAGGACACTGTTTCCGGAACAGCAAAGTTTAGTTAACTTGTCGTATAGAACAGAAGATGCAGGAAACATATCACCAGTAACGGAGGATGAAGTGATCCATTTATCAAGCAAAATTGGAGATAGAAAGGCTCCTGGCCCAGATGGCATACCAAACGCAGCTTTTAAGCTCGCAATCAGGAAAGTGCCTAAATTATTTGCCGACCTGTTTAACCAATGCTTGAGGGAAGGTATTTTCCCAGACCCCTGGAAGAAACAGACACTGGTACTAATCCCAAAACCAAATAAACCTATTGGTGACCCGTCGTCGTACAGACCAATATGTCTACTGGACACAATAGGGAAACTACTGGAGAAAATAATATACAGTCGCTTGTTACCAATCGTTGAAGCGAAAAACGGTCTGTCAAGCTACCAATATGGCTTTCGTAAAGCAAGATCAACCATAGACGCAATTCATATGGTCACGGAAACAGCACAAAAGGCAATAGAGGGCAAAGGGGCAAACAAGAAATACTGTGCGATTATTACACTAGATGTAAAAAACGCATTTAACTCTGCTAACTGGGGTTTAATATTACAAACTCTTCGCAGACTTGGAGTACCAGATTATTTGACTCTGATTATTAGTAGCTACTTTTCTAATAGAAGACTGTGCTATGACACAGAAGAAGGTGTTAAGATGCATAAGGTCACGGCAGGGGTCCCCCAGGGCTCCGTGTTAGGACCTCTGTTGTGGAACATTATGTACAACGACGTTCTTACACTGGCAATCCCGGACGAAGCGAACATTATCGGCTTTGCGGATGACATTGCAGTAACAGTCTCGGCAAGATTTATAGACGAAATACAACTTATAGCAAATGAAGTTATCGAAGTCATAAGATCGTGGATGAAAAGCGCTGGACTAGATCTAGCCGAACATAAAACGGAAGTCGTTTTAATCAGTAACCGACGGAAACCGGAATACATAAATGTAAATGTGGGGATGTATGAGGTGGTGTCTAAATCGCATATAAAATACTTAGGTATGATGATCGATGCAAAGCTAAACTTTAAAGCTCATAGCGACTATATATCTCAGAAAGCAGCAAACGTAAGAGTTGCTATCGAAAGAATGATGCCAAACCTAGGAGGTCCAAGGCAATCGAAGAGAAAAATTATAAACTCTGTAATTACCTCGTTGATCCTGTACGCAGCCCCTATTTGGTCTAAAGCCTTTAAAGTAAGATCAACAGTTAAATCTGTCTTATCAGTCTATAGACTATGTGCCCTGCGTGCATGTTGTTCCTATCGTACAACATCAGATGATGCGGCGTATGTCATATCGGGAATGATTCCCATAGACATTCTAGCTGACGAAGCAAATCGAATTTACGAGTGGAAGAGAAGGGGAAACCAAAATCTCAGCTATGCGAAAAAGCTGGAAAGAGAAACATCGCTGAGTATTTGGCAATCCCGATGGGAAGAAAGTGACAAAGGAAGATGGACTTTCAAAATCATACCTAATATAAAAGTATGGATAAACAGGAAACACGGGCAGACAGATTATTATCTCACACAGTTCCTATCTGGACACGGAGGCTACAGGAGTTACCTGCATAAATTTGGACTCGACGGCTCCCCGCTCTGCCCACACTGCCCAAACATAGAGGAAAACCCGGAGCATGTAATGTTTTATTGTCCAAGGTTTAACGACGAAAGGCAATGTGCAGAAGGAATTGTTGGGCAACAATTGAATACTCATAATATTTTGAACATTCTACTATACAAGATGGAAAACTGGGAAGCAATATGCACCATGATAAAGCGAATTCATATAAAACTAAGGAATGAAGAGGAAAGAAGGAAAACCTTAGAGCAATATTTGACAGAGGGCAACTAAGCCCTTCCACCCCTGCGATGTAGTATCTTGAATGACAATCCCGCAGGGTATATGGATGACGAAGGAGGTGCTTTAGTCGGTAGGAATCCGACATAACCCGTTGTTTTTTTTAACACCGGGTATCATATGCAAGATTTACCACCTGCCTTATTAAAAAAAAAAAAAAAAAAAAAAAAAGATAGATAGATAGATAGATAGATAGATGGATAGATAGATAGATAGATAGATAGATAGATAGATAGATAGATAGATAGATAGATAGATAGATAGATAGATAGATAGATAGATAGATAGATAGATAGATAGATAGATAGATAGATAGATAGATAGATAGATAGATAGATAGATAGATAGATAGATAGATAGATAGATAGATAGATAGATAGATAGATAGATAGATAGATAGATAGATAGATAGATAGATAGATAGATAGATAGATAGATAGATAGATAGATAGATAGATAGATAGATAGATAGATAGATAGATAGATAGATAGATAGATAGATAGATAGATAGATAGATAGATAGATAGATAGATAGATAGATAGATAGATAGATAGATAGATAGATAGATAGATAGATAGATAGATAGATAGATAGATAGATAGATAGATAGATAGATAGATAGATAGATAGATAGATAGATAGATAGATAGATAGATAGATAGATAGATAGATAGATAGATAGATAGATAGATAGATAGATAGATAGATAGATAGATAGATAGATAGATAGATAGATAGATAGATAGATAGATAGATAGATAGATAGATAGATAGATAGATAGATAGATAGATAGATAGATAGATAGATAGATAGATAGATAGATAGATAGATAGATAGATAGATAGATAGATAGATAGATAGATAGATAGATAGATAGATAGATAGATAGATAGATAGATAGATAGATAGATAGATAGATAGATAGATAGATAGATAGATAGATAGATAGATAGATAGATAGATAGATAGATAGATAGATAGATAGATAGATAGATAGATAGATAGATAGATAGATAGATAGATAGATAGATAGATAGATAGATAGATAGATAGATAGATAGATAGATAGATAGATAGATAGATAGATAGATAGATAGATAGATAGATAGATAGATAGATAGATAGATAGATAGATAGATAGATAGATAGATAGATAGATAGATAGATAGATAGATAGATAGATAGATAGATAGATAGATAGATAGATAGATAGATAGATAGATAGATAGATAGATAGATAGATAGATAGATTATATGGTTTTAAAACATACCTAATAACCAAAAATTTTTCTTTCCATTAGTATGTAAATTATTGAGGTACTGGTCAGCTTGGCTCGATTTCCATATGAAGGAGTCATGGTTACTTCCAGGATGTCTAGCATCCACAAACCGAATTAAAAGTTTGTCATCGCATATCTAAAAACATTTATAAGTAAACATTACTAAAAGTTCAGAAGATACATACTATCATGGCGTTTATGCTGTGATATCCTTTCCTATTTTAATATGACTCCGGATTTATTTGCCAATTGTTTGCGGAATAGTTATCACTACTACTTGGGCATTTTATCCTGATATGTGTCCCATCGACAAATGCTATAACTCCAGGAAAATTAAATTTTTCATGAATTCGTCTTTTTGTATTTTGTTCCTCAGATTGTGACATTTTGAAACATATTTGTTTAGGGCAATATGAGCTACTAAAAACTGACAAACATTCGTCCAAGATTCTACAAAATGTGGATTGAGAGACACACCCAAGGAAGTCATTTCCTACTGGCCTTTGATAGCTGCCCGTCGCCAAAAACTTAAGAAAAATTGCTACCTTAAGCGTTGGGTGGATTGCGGTTTGGCGGTACGTTTTAGAAAAATGAGGGGCTACCATATGAAGGATATCCTGAAAAACTTCCTTACACACCCGAAAATTTCGGCGGAACCTATAAAAAAGTCTTATAAAGTCTTTAAAAGAAAATAATATATGTACTTACTCTGAATCTGGGAGTTCCATCGGATTTGAATTGTCGCGCAATTCTCTTCTTTGCAAACGTAAATCGTTATTTCTTTGAGGCACAAAACCGACGAACGAAAACATTATTAAAATTATTATAATATTTTTACAAGTCGGTAACAAAATACAAAGTGACTTGTTTGACTTTTGAATCGACTTCTATCGATATACTGAATTAAAGAAAAATGTTTGTTTACGTAAATTATCAAAGACAACAACCACATCAAACGTAAAATGACTTAGGAAATTCAAAAATAAATACTCAATAACATATCAGTCGGAAAACGACAAAAATCGAGATAGTGAATTGGGCTATTAGACTAAGTAGACGTACCTTCTTTATAGCCAGTATACATAACGGAGAACAGAATTATACGCAACATTTATCCTATTAGCGTATAACCGTATAAGAGTTTTGGTATTACATAGTTTTAGCAAGAAGTTCACGAATATGTGTTGGGGTTAAGTGTTGAGTAGGATATAATGTTCTCAGCATTGTAAACACACAACCAGTGACTACATTTATATGTGAGTTCCATTTTAGTTCCTTGTTAAAGGTTATGCCCAAGTTCTTATCTGATTGAACTATATCAATTTGTTCACTTCCTAAGGTGATCGAATTATCATTAAGGATCGCATCAATATGTGTGCTTTGTGATTTTTTAACATAATGATACACTTCGATTTTTTGCGATTAAGTTTTAGTGAATTAGCAGATGCCCATTTAGATATAATTTCTAAATCCTGATTAAGTTTTGAAATGCATTCACTTATAAGGTTCTTTTGGCAGCTTAGATATAATTGAACATCATCCGCATACATGTGAATGCAGCAGTGTAACAGTTGCAACGGTAGATCATTGATATATAAGGAGAACAATAAGGGTCCAAGTATTGAGCCCTGTGGAACACCATTTCTTACGGATAATGGAGTTGATAAATTCTTATTTACACTTACGGATTGATATCTTCGACACAAATAGGAGGACATTAAAGAATAAAAAATAAAAAATTTTATTTAAATTAACGATATATTCTTCAAGTTAACAACCTTCAAGTGTGTAAAATTAACTATTTTAGGTGTAGATTTGAATAATTGCGATTTTACTATTTTACCACTGTTTTAACTATATTTCTGTTGATTTAACAAAATTTTGGATGTAAATATAAAGAAATTTATTTAAATCAACAGATTAAATTCACTAAATTTTTTAACAGAAATAAAATACTAAATATGAAGACTATTCGTTTATATGAATAAAATTTCTGTAGATTTGAATAAAAAAAATGTTTGCGTTAAGGGTTTACTAAAATTTTTCGTTAATATTACTTACGATATTTTTTTCTGTGTATGTTTGGATGTCTGTTGGTTTCATTGCCTTTTGTATTTGGTTTTTTTTTTTGTGTGTTTTATACCGTTTAGCGTTGTTTTTGTTTTGATTTACTATTGATATAATAATGATATAGTCGGAAAAATAAAATAAATATTAATTTTATAAAATTAATATATTTTAAATGCACTATGGTGAAGGGTATATAAGATTCAGCACAGCCGAATATTTTTGTTAAATAAAAACTTTGATAATTTCTAAAACTTTTTAACTACATGCTTCTTAAATAAAAATAAAATCAAGTTTCAAAATTTTACGAAGAACTTTTTTTTTAAACCTCATACTGTTCCATATAAACTAATAATTATAACAGAACCCAATTTAATTATTCGAACATCAATTTAGAACTTGTTCTTTGAAAAATATTTGGAATTTTACATTAAATACATATTAGTTTCGGAACTCAACATATTCGTAGTATTTATATAATGATTACCTATACCGGTATCACTTAGATTTGTAGAAAGATTGAAATGCAAAATCTTCTAGCATTGAAAAATATAGTTTGTATTCGACTGTGCCGAAATTAAATACCCACCATCAAAATATTGTAATGTATTGATACAAATATGAGCATCAATCAGAGGAGTTCTATTAGGTTTTCTTGTGTCAATTTTGGTCCAAATTTGAGTCTTCTAACTCGTGTTTTCAGACACGGAATGTGTATATTTTTTGGGTCTATGACCAAAAAATTAAGCAGGATAGTATAGTCGGGCATGGCCGCTATATGATACTCTACACCATGAGTATATTTAAAAAATTATTTATATTTCTTAAAGAAACTTTTATGTTGAATTTTACCGATATATTCAAACAATTTATTGATGAAAAACGTATAAGCTATTTTTTAGAGGGGGTTTGTATATAGGTATATTAGTTTTTTTGGTATTATTTTTTTTTTTTTTTTTTTTTTTTTTTGAAATCCATATCCGATTACGACTGTTCAAAAAAAAATAGGAGTACCGTATATTATCTAATCTAAGTTAGATTAATTTCCATTATTCGTAGTAAATATTAAAAATATAATATTAAACTGTTATATTTAGATGAATTTATGTAATTTTACGCTCAGTTTACAATTATTTCATTTAAAATCGTGAAAGAAATGTAAGAATTTACGAAAATTAAATCTGTTCAAATATCTTGAAAATTATGAAAATATCGCGAAAAAAATATGAAAAATCTCATGGTAATTTCATTAAAAGATTTTTTGAAGTTAAATGCTTTAAAATCTCTCATAAAAAATAAACATTTTATTCAAAAACAAGTAAGAGTGCTACATTCGGCTGTGCCGAATCTTATATACCCTTCACCATAGTGTACTTTAAAATTAATTTTCCCGACTATATCATTATTATAGCAATAACAAAACATAATGAACAACAACAACGCTAAACGAAATAAACACACAAAAAACAAAATACAAGAAGCAGTAAAACAAATAGACATCCAAACATACGAAACGAAATAAAAAAAAAAACTATAAAGCACACAACGCAATGAACCCAACAGACATCCAAACATACGGAACTGAATACACCAAGAAACAAAAACAACATACACAAGGCAATGAAACACACAGCCATCCAAACGAAATACTCAACAAGTAAGAGTACAATATTCGGCTGTGCCGAATCTTCACCCTTCACCATAGTGTATTTAAAAAATATAAATTTTATAAAATTTAAATTTATGTACCTATTTAATTTTCCCGATTATATCATTATTATAGCAATAGCAAAACAAAATGAACAACAACAACGCTAAACGAAATAAACACTCAAAAAACAAAATACACAAGGCAGTAAAACCAACAAACGAAACTGTACACCAACAAACAAAAACAATATACACAAAGCAATGAAACACACAGCCATCCAAACATACAAAACTGAATACACCAAGAAACAAAAACAATATACACATGCCAATGAAACACACAGCCATCCAAACATGTGAAACGAAATACTCAATGAATAAGCAGTGTTGTTGCTTATTAATCAAAGCATGAAAAAATTGTCTTTTTAATGAAATTTTCAGAGGTTTTGCTGATTTTAAATAGCGATCTTCTCGAAAACATGTCTAACAGAATTATTGAAGATTCGGATCTCGCCGATATCTGGGGTCCTCTAAAAACTGATTTCAACAGACAGACAGACAGACAGACAGACGGACAGACAGACAGACGGACATGGCTTAATCGACTCCGCTATCTATAAGGATCCAGAATATATATACTTTATAGGGTCGGAAAATTATATTATAGAAATTACAAACGGAATGACAAACTTATATATACCCTTCTCACGAAGGTGAAGGGTATAAAAAAACAAAATACACAACGCAATGAATAAGTAGTGTTGTTGTTGCTTATTTCTTATAAAAGTTTCAGATGTCACGGATTTTTGCTTATATCTCCGTTGTTTATGGACGGATTTTGCTGATTTTAAATAGGAAACTTCTCGATAGCATGTCTGATAGAATTATTGAAGATTTTGATCCCGAAGATATCTGGGGTGTTCAGAAAACTGATTTCAACAGACAGACAGGCAGACGGACATGGCTTAATCGACTCCGCTATCTATAAGGATTCAGTGCCTCGTTTCTGTAACTCTCGCATCGAGAAATTTGAAATTGAAGAAAAAACAATGTGAATTGAAACAAAATATCATTTCTCACATGCAAGTGTTTCTGTAAGAAAATTTTGTGAGAATTATCTGTCATTTATGTTTTTTGACGTAAGTTATTGGAAATTTGTGAGTAAAAGTGTTTCTGTAAGAAAATTTTGTGAGAAGTTTCTCACATGAACTGTCAAAAAACTCACATTTTAAAACGGTGCGGAAAGAAAAATTTTAAGTAAAAAAAATTTATTTTAAACATGAATTCTATGAAATAATGAAAAAGTAATGTTATATTTATAATTAATTAAGATTAAAATAAATATTGTTCACTAATTTGTAGAAAATAGGAGGAATTTCGGATATACAGAAACAAATGCTAAAAAAGTACGTGGGCGTAAACTTAGAATTTGCCAAGGGCGAATTTAGTGGGATAATTTTTCGAACAAGTTTCATTTAATTTCTATATTTTTTTTGTTTATTTATTCTTCGTTTATAAATTTGTTCGGCAATTTTTGTTTTCCTCTTTAAATTGTTATGTTTTTGACAGCTGTTTTATTGGAAATTTCCAATAAAAATGTAATTCGTGTAGCCTCATCTCACTTTAAGTTACAGAAACACATTTAACTCACAAATCGAGAAACGATGGAATTTTTTGTTTGACACTTCTCACTAAAAGTTACAGAAACGGGGTACAGAATATATATACTTTATAGGGTTGGAAAATTATATTTTGGAAATCACAAACGGAATGACAAACTTATATATACCCTTCTTACGAAGGTGAAGGGTATAATGATAAGCGCTTATTTTTTTAAAATTAATCCCATTAGGGCGTCCCAAATTAGTGAAACTATATTAAACAGCGTGATCAATATTCAGTTAGTTCATATCAATTTTTAAACAATCTTTTTTGAAAAAATTTATTTTCAGACCATAAAGCATATAGTGAAACCCATAAGTAACACATTTAGAGGTGGTTTCATACATAGATTAATTTTTCATGCATGAATACGACAACAAATTACATTTTTAAATAATAAATGAATTCAGAAAATATATTGGAAGTCCATTAATCTAAAAATATTAAGCTCAAACCAACTTTCAAGGAAGTCATATAA